AGAGAGAGAGAGAGAGAGAGCGGTAGACCGACAGACAGACAGTCAGACAAAGAGATTTAAAGAGAGATGGGAGAGTCCAGGATAATGACACTATTCGTGTACCCGAAAACAGAACCCCAAAGCATCATGTGAGAAGACCCCTTTACCCAAACTTCGAATTTAAGAAACACGCGGAAGCCTTTAAACGCCGCGCGTCATCAATGTTGGACAAATTACGAAAATCATTAAAGCAATTTTCCAGACGGAGGAGCTTCTCGGCGGAAGTCGAGCTGATGTAAAAAGTTCGGATTAACTTCCGGTGAAACGAAAGACTTGTCGCCACAAAATTATCGCTCGGTCTTCTGTTATTTTCAAGGAATTATTTGCCGCGGAGATCAGCACTTATGATAATGGAGTTCACAACAGGCCGTGCGGGGGTGAAATGATTCTGTTTGGTGTCGTTTGGTTTTCAATGAAAATCAGAAATTAAAAAAATCAAACTAATTAAAGAATTGGAATTCCCTTTAATGACCGAGCCGCGGATGACCGTACTGATTTTAAAGTGGGCAAAGGAGGATGATTTAACGCGACCTGGAACAGTGCATTGGCTTATATGTTTTGAGGTCTCTATTTGTCTGTTTGTATGTATGCCTGTATGTGTATGAACGTGTGTGTTTGAATTTAAGTGTGAAAGTGTGTGTACGCGCGCGCGCGCGCGTGTGTGTGTGAGTGTGAGTGTGTGTGTGTGTGTGTGTGTGTGTGTGTTTGTGTGTGTGTATGTGCGTGAATGCTTGTGTGACTGTGTGTCACACAGTGTGTGTGTTTGTGTGTGTGTATGTGCGTATGTGCGTGCTTGTATGTATGCATGTATGTATGGCTTTTTGTATATTGGCAGACGCTTCTAAAGTAGTACACATGGTACAGGTTTGACTGGTCGGTTGGCATAAAGGAAGTAGATTGCCCATGTACTACTTCCCTCCCTTCAGATCTTGATATGCGTCAAAGGAGAGACATGGGCGTTGGGAATCAAGGAAGGTGTAAGGGATGTCTAGATATTTTACAGGCGTGATATTATTACTCCTGTGGTAGGCAATTTTTTGTATTCTGAATTTTTGTCCAGGTGGCGCCCTCGGCCTACTCTTGTACGATTTTCCACCACCTAGGAATCTCTTTACATGCACAATATGTTTACGGGCCCTTTGATATTTTCCGTCGTCGTGTAAGAAGTCTAGGTACCCCATATTTTTCTACCATTCTACGATCAAGGGTGTGGAAGAAAAATAGATTGACTGAGTTTGTGAGTGAGTGGGAGAGATAGTCTTTTTTTAAACTGAAAAAGAGAGAAGATTAAACGAAGAAGGGTAAGGGGGTAGGGGATGAGGAGAAAGAAAAAGCAAAAGAAGTAAAAGAATAAGAAAAAACTGGACATGCCTCAATAGATCGAGTTCAAACTTGGCACCTTTGGCACGAGAGATGAGCACAGTGCCGACACCACACCCTCCTCTCCCCACCCCCATCCCCGCACAAATGCAGTGGCTGTTGGTAAAACAGATACTATTGAGCACACTCGGTTGTTTCTACTTCTTCGACACCCCTTTTCAGTCCACTGCGCCGGTAGAAAACATAACGAGGTTAATGCCTAAATTTGGCCTGAGAGTGCACAGCTTCGAGTAGTCGAGTATAGCCTCCAGTAATCGAGAAAAGTAACGCTGATTAATTCATTTGGGACGCGCACTGCGGTCAAACGACAGAGCTTGAAGACGTGATGTTTAAGGGCACTTTAAAAATCAAGCATGACTTCGTTATTCAGGCTGATGGTTCATATGTGTTTCCTTTATCTAAACCTCGAAAAACACTAGAGAGTTAGCTTAGTTTTAGTAAGGTTTTACGACGCTCGCAACTGCATATGGGCGCCAAGTGGTGGATGTCAACAGAGAAGTCCAAACGAGGAATCAGGCTTACTCTGTTCACCTCCCTAGCCTCAACAGCACAAAGTCTACTTTTACTATTCAAAAGAAGTAGAGGGAAAATGACGATAGTAAGATGAGGAAAGAAAAAGCAGCAGTTTTTCATATGTTGTTCCAGCACAGTATGAGCGTGGCATTAATACCGCTTTGGGAATGGCCTTTAGTCAGTAGCACTGCTCTGGTTGGGGGGGGGGGGGGAGTGAGTTACAGACAGACAGCAACACACATACTAGGAAATACACACGTATACAAATGTGTGTTTCTGATTGGTGTGCGCGTTCGGATGTGACATAACTGGGTATTTGGTCTCCTCTTGGACATACACGTGTGTCCACCTTAGAATTAAGAAGTTCTAATAGACGTTTTTTCTGTTTTGAGTTACTAAGACCTTAAGGTAAAAAACCAAATGTTTCATCTATCAAAATTGTAAGATTATTTGAAATCGTTATCAAGATATATAAAACAAAATTGTAGTGGAGAAAGCTTGATTTGTTGTGAAACTCAAAATTTACTTCG